TCAATGCTTACAAATTTTGAAAGAAGTTCTTAAATATCTCTGAAAAGACTGGAAGCCTGAGCAACTAATTCTCCTTTCTGAGTTGACCTTGAAACCAAAATGCCCAAACACTTGCTATGTAATGAAGTGGCATATGGATAGAGATGAAAGCCAAAGCATATATAAAAGAAGATGACATTTGTTCACACCACTCCTATCTTAAAATCCAGATTATCCTAAACTATCATTAGGATGTTATAAAGGCACTTTTATTACAGCTGAAAGCCTGGATAACACTAAGTCACATGCTGAAAGAACGTGTGTGCTAATGGGTAGAATTTCATTGAGCAAAGAAGCTCAATCAATGCAGCAGAGAAGTACCCTCAGCTTTTAGAGTGGGGGTTTCCACATGGAGACCTCACCAGTTTTAGACACTGGCAATGCAGCCATTAGTGAGAAATATTTCCTCACATATTTAAAAAAAAAAATACAGTCACTAGAATTATGATATAACTAAATTATGTGATAGCTTAGCATGTTCTTGCCTTTAACCCATTACTTGGGTTTTTTATTAGACAACTGCAGTGCTGTAACACACATACCCTTTACTAGTATCATAATCATATGAGGAGGACTTGAGAAAGCAACTTGTACTACCACCAATCCCAAGTGCATTCTGAGCTGTACCCCAAAACCCACAAATTTATTTTTTTTTTTAAATGATATGTTTTGATTCTCTTTATCTAACTGAAGGTTTACGTTCTCATGCTTTCTCTATCAACCATGTGAGCTGGAAACATTTTTTCTAATAAAGCAAGATAAGATGTTCAGATCACAAAACTCCAGGTAGAAAGACACTTTCAGGAGTTTCCTAATGCTATCCCATGCTATTACATACAACCATGAGTAAAATTTTTCATGAAAGGACAAAAATGCTGTAAGAAAGAAAAACTAAATAAAAAACAAATCCCAAGCATGTTAAGACATAGTACACAATCCTACAGATCCAAAAGATAGCAAAGTGGGTATTATATTTGCTTGAGAAATTTTATCTGGGATACTGAAACCTATTTCACAACTGGAATGGGTTATACTCAGTCTTATCTTACTCCTTCCTTATCTTACTTGGTCACTAAGATATATGATAAAGAAATTAATTTCCAATACACTGCCCTATCTACCATTTTTCAGATAAACTTTAGTACCTTTCCTAATAATTTCATGCAAGGAACTTTGAAATTCCATAGGTTTTCAGAACAAATGTTGTTAAGCTCCACAGCTTTCAGTATCTACCAACACCTTCTGAAGCATTCAAAGATAATTTTTTTCCTGCTGTACTGCAGATGGCAATACCACTTAAACATATAACGGATGACAAAATGAAAACTTTTAATTTTCATCTACATGAACACTGTAATTCAGTACAAGTGTAAGGATTTACAGATGAAAAGCGCTGTATACTATTCCCACTTTCACGAGTCATCCAACACCTAGCATCAAAAATTAAGGGTCTGTGTAAACACTTTGAGGAATGGTAATTTCTATAAACTTTGATAAAAACACTGTGCGACATTTTATAACAGGTAAATGATGAAAATGTCTTCAAAGATACAGCCACCAACACTTGAAATCTGGACCCTATCTAAAACTACTGTAAATTCCTTAAAGCAGTTACTGAGTTTATGCACTGGGATACTCTCACCACTGAACTGTTGGCTGTAAACTACCCACTGTAATCATCACACACAATAGTTACTGGGAAAAAATATCTAATCGTTACCTAAACTGAGTTGCTCTTTGGATTTAATATTTTCTAAACTGCTTTTTAAAACAGTTAGGTAAGCTGCTCGGCAGTTCATGTAAAAGATTGCTTCTTCAGCATGCTGGGACTTCCTTGCTTGGGAACTTTCTGAGCGTGTGACTTTCTGAACGGAGAGGGATGCGTTACTGTCAGGACTGCTGGCCATTCTGTGAAGAATACAATTACAGTTAGTATTTGTTAGTCTTGCCTGTTTAATAATGCCTGTGCTTTGTCCTCTGAAACACAGACTAGCACAAATTATCCTAACATCTAGATCATATATTTTCCATTCTCTAAATCTGATGGGAATACTTACCTACACTTACAGGTAAGCACCATAAGATCCACAGACAAAAATAGCTTGAGCTCTATTTACTATTCACAATTTATTCTTTACTGGCAGTAAAAAGTTTCATTTCATTGTATTTTATTTTAATTTCAGACATTTGATATCACAATGATTATATAGTCATGTTATTTGAAAGCATAAAAAATAAATTTTCAAGGTGTCACGCAAACCATTGCTATGCTTATTTAGAAATAAACCACTAGGACTTGTCCTTACTACACATTTTCACTAAACCTCTACTCTTGCCATGCTAGCTAAAGTGACAGAAACAACGGGAGAATTTGTGCAGAAGCTCACTTATTGGCTCTGATGACTTTATTTCTATGCCTAGTATAATTTGTCACAATGATAAATTAATGAACATGTCACACCTACCACTGGTTTGCTCCCAGTGCCACTCTCGTTGTTGCTACAGTTCACCAGCAATAGCAAAGGTGGAGAAAAAAAATGCCAATTCTGTTTTCACTGGAAAACTGAGTAGCTTTAAACAGCTTCAGTAGAGACACTGTATAATAGCATAAACTCCATATAACATTCAGTGTTAAAGAAGTGATATCATTATTGAATTGATTACATTTTTTTTCTCTGGTGCCAACTCATACCAGAACAGGCATTTGTTTTCTGTTTTTACAGTTGTAACTCAATAAAACATACGGCTAATAGTAAAATCAGTCAATATTTTAACTGTTAACCCATCAAGTAGGTGAAGTTAAACACACAATTCTACTTTTACAGGTTATCTAAATATAATTAATAGACATAATTAAGTCTGAAGCTAAGAATGTGCATAAAACTTCACGCAACTTAGGCCTTTTAAGTACAAGAACACTACCCATATAGCTCTAACTGAATGGAAAAAAACAGGAAATGCATTTTTTTCTAAATTATTAAAACAATTCAAAGCAGTAGCTAATACTGTTTGCTCACCAATGACCAGTAAACTTTAACAGCAGCTTTCTGCTTTTACCAAGGGTGATTAAGGTTTTTAGAAGGCCATCACAGAGGGACACTAAATCGTGTTGTACTGTTGGTCTAACAGCCTCTCATATTATTTTACCCAATGTTGACTTCAGAAAATATATTCCAGTATAATAAATTGAATATCTCAAGTTCAGCAACAAGACAACGACATCATAGGGTCCCCTTCAGGACTCATTGGATTTTTACTCTGGAGGCCTAAATCACTCGCACCTTGTTGAGTTATATAGGTCTTTTACACATGGGAAAGAAAGATAATAATCGCTTATCATGGATGAAGTACCCTATTTATAATACACAGACCGCCTGCCTGACACTTTAATATTACACTGGCATTAGAAGGACCCCATAGGGACACTGTGATACAGTCTGGTTACTGCAAACGGGTGTCACTATAATTAAGCACCAGTGTTACACACACAAAATGGAAGTGGGTTAAAGTCAAGGAGGAAAAGAAGAATAAATGTTAATTTTCCAGTAACTAGTTTATAAAATGTGAACTCTGTTTATACTCCTTAGACTTCCCATTACCGAGATATTTCTTACGTGGGCCACAGTTCTGCCAAGAAGCGCTGCCAATACATTGCTCAGAAATCCAGTGAGCAATAGCTTAGTGACAGCACTGCCAGCAGCCCCACGTCTTAGGTTGTTAAATTTTTACTGGGAAAATGACACTTTAGACAAAATAGACGGAGGGGAGCAATCTGGCCTCTGCTGAAGTAGGAGGACAACACAGCCTAACTATGACTTTGAATCTTAGTTGCGATGATTCTAACAAATAAAAACCGTCTTCCAACTAGGAGTTATGTCACCACCTCCTTGGCAATAACTGACCTTTCCCGCGGCGGGTCCGCGGCCGAGGTTCACCTCCACACACCGGCAGGGAAGCTTCGTGCCGCTGCTTCTTGCACTTCCGAGCCCAGGCACCCAGGCCTCGCTCACCTGAATCACATAAGCTATTTAGGTCGGAAAAGGCCTTTAAGGTCACCGAGCCCAACTGTAAACTGAAATGAGGAAACTTTTACCACATGAATCTCATTACCTCCCTCTCCGGTGGGCGCAGGGGTCTTCTTGGGCAAAATTTACCATCCAACCTCACGCAGAAGACATGAGGGTCCCTCCCCGCCGCCCGCCAGATGGGAATCAGCTCTCCCGCCCGGGCTCCCCGCCGCCCTGAAGGGCCGGGATGGCCGCACCTCCCCTCCCGCCCCAGCGGGCCTCGCACAAACCTTCCCCGGGGGGAAGCCGCCCCCGGCCCGGCGCCCCCCGTTACCTAGCACCGACCGTGGGGGCAGCTGGGCCCGGCCAGTCCGGTCCCCGGCCCTCAGGCCTGAGGGGCGCTGGGCTCCCCCG